CGCCAGACTCAATGCGTGCATGTGTGCGTGCGTGCGTGCGTGCGTGTGTAGGGGGGGGTAACAATGGCACAAATTTCGACCAGCGGGGTAATCAGACGTAATGGGAATTACTTTGGGATGCAATCAGGTAACCCTACTTGTCAGGCATGCGATTTTAGGTGGGTACACAGTCAGGCTGCGGGCAAGGTGGTTTTGAACAATCCGTAGCGCATCGGATTGCCTTGTATTTGACGCTTTTCCTGAAAGCAGAGCGCACATACCTTTATTATTTGAATCTTTTCCTGTTCTGTGGTTCCTTAACTCTACCCACAATTTCATATGAACATCTAAGTTCCGTAATCGACGGTTCTAATGTTTGCATGTGTTGTCCGTGAATTTGGGTTTACACGATTTCTATATAATTTGCAAGCGTGTGCTTGTCAGTCCTTGCTTTACAGACGTCTTACACAACACCAATAGACAGGGAATAATCTATAGTGTATGTATCATTGACTATGTCAGCTTTTCAAAACGTTATTTGACTGTAAATCTTTGTAAAACGGAGAATGGTGAAAGGACGGCGTCAATCAACCCCCGCAGAAATGGCCTCGTCCGTTGCCATGGCAACGGGCGTGGTTACGCAATGCAACTTGCGCTGAAAAATCGGACATTAAATCCTGGGCAAACATTGTTCAAAAATTGGGACCTTAGCACTAATCGTTGATTTTTGGTGAATATTTTTCATTTCTAATTAACAATATCTTATCGGATGATGGTTAACTTGGGAGAAGGGCTTTTTTATTTTTTTATTACCTCCATGAAAAATGAAGGTATTGTTTTTGGCGTGTCTGTGTGTGTGTGTGTGTGTGTGTGTGTTTGTGTTTCCGCACATTTGTAGTCAGTATAACTTCATAACGCCTTTATGGATTGTGATGATATTTGGTATGATGGTAAGTCTTATAAAGACAAAGGTCAAGGTCAAATATGGGCCTCCTGGTGGATGACCTTGGTACTGCAGCAGAACGTTTTTGAATCTTTTGTCCTGAACAAGCTATGATCTGGACTTTTTGGTGACAGATAGCTTTTTTTTGCAAATAACAACCTAATTTGCATAATTAATGTGAAAATTCTGTGACTCCTTATTGGTGCATGATATGAATTTTATACCTTGTGACATGAGTAAGTTACTTAAAGGTTAACATCACTATGCATATGTTATGTTTATGTAGAGGTCATTTGCATATTTAAAGAATAAATTTACATGTCAAGCCCATATTTGATGGAGGTATGAAATCTCGGAATTCTTGTTCCAACATGTAATCACCAGACGTGGTGACGGCACACTCAAGTTTTATCAACTTACATTAATGCCGCCACCAACACAGGGGACAAATACATGACATTTACCTGAGCGAAGTGAAGAAAGTCGTGTTAAGTGCCTTTCCCAAGGGCACAAGATCGGTGGCATGTCAGGACTCGAACCCGGGACTTCTAGGTTCCGAGTCGCGCACTCTGCCGCTACGCCAAACGACCCCACGAGAAGGTATCGTTCATGTACATGTATATGTGAGAGTTTAATCCACCTAGACCGGCCTTTTTTGGGCTTGGTGGGACGGGGGGGGGGGGCTCATTTGACCCCCCCCTCAGAACTCAAGAACGGTATGTCGTATGACCACCAAATTTTCAGAGGATGGTGTACTAGTAAAAATTTATCATATCTACAATTTTATGTCGTTATGACGTAATATGACGTCATTATGACGTCCTTAATGTGATTTTATTGGCCCAAACCGTTTTCCCTGAAAACTAAATGGTATACAACATAACTTTACTAAAAGTGTTTATGACAGAATATTAGGGTGTACTAAGTCTTATGTTGCCCATAGCAACACTGGTGACGTCATAAAATGACGTCATGCATATTTAAGATATCCGCCATCTTGGATCATCAATCTTGAATTTTCAAAAATAGTTTTTTTCATGATAAAACCTAAAATACATTGTAAACATACTAAAGACCTTCATTTAAACCTTTTTTTTGAAAAAGAAATGGAAGTATTGATGAAATTTTGATGAAAATAACCTGTATATACCTGTTCTAATGATATGGTCTGCCATCTAAAATTCTAATCATTATGCAGGTCCAGAGATGCATATTTTCTTGTTTTCGTCACAAGGTTACGGATTTCCATTCCGCTTCTTTAAAATGTATCGGATTGGTAACTTGTATATTTTAAATTTTTAGCGTTAAAGCATGGAAAAAATAATATGTATTGGAGAGAATAGAAATGTGGTGATTAGCTGATTGTTGACTTTTTTTGAAGGAAACTGACAACAATAATGTTATGACAGACCACACACAAGTTAGATACATCAACTTTATTTAAACAGTCTATTATTGGTGTGGATCAACATAATAGATAATTTACTCTAAAGCAAATACAACATATTTCAGTAATACCCCTCTCCATGAAATGGACTGTTACAAACTCAAACCAGTGCTAAAGTACAACAAGATTTTTTTTTCTGAGACGAGCTATTTGCCAAGTCATCCAAGTTTAAAATGGAGTCTTCCTAACTTAACGCCAATTAAAGAGACGTTGTTCCCACTAAGAATTGACTCTTCCATCTGCCTCATGTCCAAAAAATATCCGCAAAATTACGGACATTTTGTGTAATCAGCCTAGTCCAAACTTAATTTTAAAAAAATCCTCCCCTCTTCAACAATGAATTCTTCCAGTGAAGTAAAAGCACAAGAAACATAAGGAAAAACGATATATTAAGGCAATACCAGGGTATGACTGAAATATATTAAATGGATACTTCTTTTCTTCCTAGAATTTTAGGCACAACAACACTAAGAATTAAATCGCCAGTGATGGAAATATACAGGTTCTAAAATTGTTACAATACTACAGAAATTAAAAACTACAGTCTATATTACTGGACGGGTCACATTTGTTTAGGTCACATTTCTTTAAAAAAATTATTAGTGTTGATGCGTTTTAAAATGATATCAATCTTTCTACGATACATTGCTCTGCTTCTTGAGTCCCAAACTAGTCGTCCATAATCATACACTGTATACTTTATACAAACACTCTTTCACTGTTC